GCCGGCTGTTCTGACTCACAGACTGTAAGTACGTTTTTTATATTTAAAGAATTTGCCACTGGCGCTTCAAACGCAAGTTTTGAGCAGTGTAGAGTAGCACTTTTTGTTTGTCATTTCTCCGATCACAAATGCAGACATGGTTTTATGTTTATGCGGCGCGATGCAACGCAACGCGTAAAAAGAGCACAAGTCATTATAATCCGTAATTATGTCCCCACTGGATTTAATATTTTTGTCTCGTCGCTCCGGCCGGACAGGACATCACAATATGGTAGGGGCGTAACATTTCCGTCACACGCTTGAGGTATTCGGCCAATCACAACGCACTGGATAGCTGGCCAATCAGAGCACACCTCGCTTTTCAGACCGATCAGCTTTGTAAAAATTGATACGTTTCAAAAAGGTGGGGCATAGAGGAGAAACAATAATGTACAGTATGTGGAAAATAATGTGTTTTTTGAACCTTAAACCACATAAACACATTTCATTACACCAAATACACAAAATAATGTTCTTTTTAGCAGCATCATATGACCGCTTTAAATCTATAAGGGTGGCTGGATTTATTCACGCACGTTAAAATATTTATCTAAAGCTTCTTTCTTTTCAGATTCTTATTTACAGCATTATCATAATAGGCTGTATATTAACTTTTAGGGAGAAAACCGGTAGTTCTATGTGAAATCAGATATTTATAGCCAAAATGGCATGCTCATAACACCCTGTGAATATTCGACTGTGAGATTGGTAGTCGAATCAGGCCAGAGATTGTCTTACTATAAGGAGATAAGAGGGTCTGTAAAATGGCTAACTTGGGTCATGTGTCCCTTAATAACCAATCACATTACAGACTTGATGTCACTGAATTTCAGTCAGAGTTGTGCGACACCCAGTCACCGTTTATGGATACCATAGGAATGAATGAGAAGTGCCGTAAGCTGAATCCCACCTGTTGCAAAAAGTCAGTGACTTCTCTTATAAAATGGCATTTTTTTCATGGTAAACTAAAAATAGTTAAATCCAAAAGTATTGTTTAGTGTAAAACATGTTGAAGATTAGCAGATAGGCTGTCGATTCATTAAATGATAAGCGGTCTCCTCTAAAAAGCTGTTTATTCAGCGTAGTGAAGACTCTGCACCATTGACATCTATCCAAAAAAAAAAAGAAGGCCTCTAGTCCCAGCAGTCTCCTTTCCCACGTACTGCCAGACCGGAAGCGTTAGCTTTAACCATTACACTTTTTTGGATAATGGTTGCAGGCTTGCCTTCTAGTGGCTTTGATCAGGCTCCTCCAATCGAAGCATCGAATCTTCGACTATTCGGGGTCACCCCTAGTGCATGTATTTGTATGTAAGATCAGGCATTTTCTGCTTTTAGAGCTAGCTAAACTGAAAAGGATGCTACCTGAGATGGTACAATACGAGCCCACCTGGGAGGACCTGGAGCTCCTGAAGGATGGAGGGGTGGCCATCATAGACCAGTGGATTTGTGCTCATGCTAGGTATTGAATCACACCCTTCGCTCTCCTTTTTTCGTCAACAACAAAGCGGTTACTGAATGACACTGTGGTTTATTTATGCTTTAGGTGGACAAAAGCTGCTTTATCAACTGTGTTGAAAGATGAACCACCTTCTTGATTTTAGTCAGAGTTAGCTGCTGTTCAAGCCAGTTGATTTTTCTTTTAGTGTTTAGTTCTTTTTTCTTTATCTCTTTCATTGACTTTAAATTTTTCTTTGTCAGTGCTCTTTCTAGAAGATGACGTTGACAGAGTGTCAGTGTTAGAGGAAATTATACTATTTTGTTTTGATTTAAACCATGTATTGGAAATTGACTCAATTGAGTATAATATAATCACAAAATGTTTTTCACTTGCGAAAATAATATTTAAAATAATTACTTAATTTTAAAAGAGTAAGGATTATTACTAATTTGATTATTTTCTGTTGTGTTGAATTGGGTGTTACTCAATAGATTCTTTCCATTAAAAAAAGAAATGTATGACCCCATGACATAATGGCTTAATCATTTCAGTCAACTCAGGCACTTGCTTTACTGGAAAGAATGCTCATTGTTTGATATGACAACCTTTGATCCTACCTATCACATGCTGTTGTGTGACTTTTTTTTCAATCTTTTTGCTTGCGACGGCTTATCTCTTTTGTAAAACAACCGTACATCACTCACTCACATGTGTGTTGTTTTTGTCAGGTATTTCATTGGGACATCAGTTTCAACGTTCTCTTTCAGAATACACGAGGAAAGAGAGATCCTAGGTTTCGATCCTAAAACCACCTATAACCGATTCTGTGGCGACGACGAGAAAGAATGTGAACAACCAACACACTGGAAAATTGTCTACTGATCACACAGAAAACTTGATGCTGGTTATACAGACTGTAACTGATTTCTCAGATTTAAGAGGATTCTCTATATTTTTTATGTTTTTGCTGACTATGTTGAAAATACAATCTTAGAAAGGAATAGTTCACCCAAAAATGAAATTTCATGAATATTTACTCACTTTCAAGCCATCCCAGATGAAAATTTTCGTTTAAGGGTGTACTATTTGTCTAATGGCTGAGCCAATGGTTTTTCATTGCGTAACAAGTTAGGCCTTTGTAAGTTAAGGAAGGTAAGGTGAGACATAAGTGGAAAATATCAAATGGCTTTGATCTCATATCTTGTGTTAGATGTGGAATTTGTGTATGCTGCTGATCTGTTCTCACAGTTCTTTGATTTGGATTGTTGATAGGCCTGTCACTAAACAACTATTTGTTGTGCGATATATAGCCCCAGAAATAATTGCGATAAGCGATATTATTGTCATTTTAAAGACCATTTTATGCCACTGAATATATTATCATAATGTAACAGCATAATAATGCAAGAAGGCCTACACACTTCCAAATGACAACAAACTTTCAATTTTTAAGAATATTTAGATCATGGAAATTAATTATCAAAAAGCTGAATAAATAGTAAATAAACATTTTCTAACAAAAAAGTGCAAAGTAACAAGTAGAAAAAAAGGAAACTGCACAAACAACTTGTATGGAGATTTTTCTATCTACATATTTTTCCCAGACCTTCCTTTCTCTGTAAATTAAGGGTGCACACTATTGCTGAAAAACACAATCACTACTTAGCAGTCAGATGTCCGTATGCAAAAAGGCACAGATCCCTAAACAAGGCCATATCTGCAGATGAAACTTTTTTTGTAGAAGCATTTTTTTATTTTTTGAACTAGCACCAACTACACCACGTTATGTACGAGAAGCTGCAAAAGACACAGGCACAAGTGGAATGTAGAAAACATGGTGACATTATTTTTTAAGTAAATATAATGGGCGATATATTGCGTCTCTAAAAATGATTGAGGTCATGTACATATATTGTGCGATTAGTCGATATATTAATTATTGCGACAGGCCTAATTGTTGATACTCAAGATGAACTGTGTATAACACTGATCAAACCTTTTATGAAAATGATCAACATGATTTTTCACCCCTGTTCCTGTCTTTGAAGTGCTACTTGCCAATTATTTTTGTCTCAGCACAATTTATGCCTTTGACAAATAACATGTATGAAGATGCAGCGGTAGTGTTTATTTGATATTTCTGTCAGTATTGCGCCTGTCTGCTATTTGGACAGACAAAAATAGTGCTTTCACAGACTTTGCCATACAGTATTTTAACACTCAGTAGTGTTTGTTTCCTTCCATAAGATGAGGTGAAAGATTCCGGGAGGCGTAAGCATGTTGCTAAAATTGCAGTCGGTAAAAATAAGCCTCTGGAATGGAAGCATAACTCGATGACAAGCAGTTGGAGTGTTTTGTATATTTATTTTGTTGTTCAAGAACTGTAAATTTATTTCACTATTACCATTCAAAGATGTACTGTTCATCTGTGCAGCTTTTCTATAAATGTTTTCTTGAAGTTTTTTTTTTCTAAATGAAATTTTAATGATCACTTGGTGTAAATGTTGTCAAGTGTTTTTCATCTTATTTTTCTGAAAAGAGCTTCCTTATTAGGATTTAAACTGAAAAGGTGCCTTGGAGTCGTAGTATGTGTCCATTATTCTATTATATACCTGCTAGATATATTATAGCAGAGTAAATTTGCTGTAGGTTTTGTTCATTTTTACATAACTGTTTTTTTTTTTGCGATCTCTCTCCTGGGCCATGAATCTGGTTTCGTATGATGCCAATCTGTCCAGCTCAAAGCTATACTGATCATTTTACTTCAACTTCTGGGTGGAGACAATGCTTTGTGACTTATTCTCACAGAAAAGAGGGCAGCACGAGATGCTTTTCAGTCTTTTGTCCTGTTGACGCTTCTGGCAAACTTTCCAAGCTAGGTTTCACAGTTTAAGTCTCTTATTTTAACAATAGCATGTTATGGGGATCCTAATCTTGGCTGTTCATTATTACAATCAGCTTTAGAACTGATTAACATGTTAGGTGATACATTTTAGAGTAATGTATGTACTTTTATTGTCTTTTTCCTTTTCGAATGCAACCTAAAGACAAAGGGAAGATTTATGAACTTCACAACCTATACAACCACAATGACTTAACAAAAACACTGAATGTGATCTCCAGGTCATAGAAAACAGATCAAAACAGACTGAACAACAGAATTTGAACTGGTTGATTGGTACAGTGTAGAATAGAGAACATTGTTTTCAACCAGTCTTTTTACCACAGTTTAAAGTAATCATGAAAAGGCTGTGAATAACCTGTTCAACTGGTAACATACAAAATGGCTTTATGGCCAAAAAAATATTGCAATAATTTTTGTTGACCCCACCTTTATCATGAGAACACAGTTTAACCTCGCTGTAAAAATCTGGTTTACTCCGATAGGCCTATAGCATAAATATGATACTGAAATTAACCTGTTCAATTGGGTAACATACAAAACTGCTTTTTGGCCAAAAAATATTGCAATAATTTTTGTTGCCCCTTCTTTATCACGAGAACACAGTTTAACCTCTCTGTAAAAAAATCTTGTTTACTCGGATATAGCATAAATATGATACTGGAATTTTAGATTTCACTCTTGAAACCTTCCCAACCTGACATATTTATTTCCTCAATAACAATATCTAAGTGAATAGCGCATGAGTAGCCTAATAAGACAGATCTGTGTATTTGAGACCAACAAATACATATTTTTCATATATCATATTTTTAGTCTGTTAAACTAGGCACTAGTTAGGCATGGAGCTGAAATCTACCCTTTAGAGGAAGTAGCTTGTTATACTAGAAGCATATGGGACTTTGCTGTATTTTGTATTGATGCCCATTTTTTGGGAAAATGTCTTGACCCGCAGTAGGCTGCACATACAGGTGTTGAACTTTAAATAAAAAGCTCCTTAACTGCTAGCAAACAATAGATATTATTTGCGGCTCTCCTTTCAATTTACTTTAAGTAAATTTTCACATCATCCAGTTATGTTTTTGTTCTCTTCTCCTGTAATTATTGAAGTGACAGAAGTGGGAGCACAATCTGATAGGTAGCATTTTTCGCTATCGATTCGTGCTACCTATCTTTTTAATGGGAGGTAGCACAATCTGAGCGGGTAGCACAAATCGTCAGAACACCGGTCATGCAAGCTGTGTGGTAAACTGCCGCCTCTCACCTGTATGAGCCTACAGAACAGAGAACAGTGCAGCCTGGATATCACTGACACCGGTGCGAACACCTGACAAGAGAGCAAATTCATCTTTTTCTCCTTATTCGGCTAACTACATACTTCATTTTAGTTGTTTTTATTATACATTTTTCGTCGGTTGATTGATACAGTATCACATGGAAAGTGCTCTTTGCCAGGAATAACCTGGCAGAATGTCTTCATTATATGGAACGCATCGGACTCAATAACGATACACTAAATCCAATCCAGACTAAACAAGGTAAATATATAGCTTGATCAATTTATATTGTTTTTGTAGTATAATACGTTTGGATTTCTGACGTTTGCATGTTTATTAGCTACTTCTGTGCGATAAAGTGAATATTTGCGATTCAGTTACGTCCATTGTGAAAGGCAATTCAGGGAGGAAAAGCTTACATTAAATGATTTTGAACAGTTTTAGACAAAGAAGCGCACTAAATACAAGTAGGAAGCAACTTTAAAGCCTTTTTAAAAATTATTTTTATGTATTATTGTTATTGTGTGTGTATAAGTTTGGCTTATTTTATTAAATTATTTTAGTATTTTATTAAATCTGTTATTATTATTATACAAAGTGGCATTTACTTGATATAAATAACAAATTACATTCGACAATATATATATATATATATACGAAGATGCGCGCCGCGGACGGAGCGCAACGGAGGATTTGGTTTACAAACTAAAGTAAAAGACCGCTTCTTAAACCAGAGAAGGTGAACATGTTGGTATTCTTGTGGAAAAAAAACACGCATGTCCTGTCAGTGAGGACTTGCACGTTTGGAAAAGCTTGCTATCTTTGCTGTTTACCTCGCGTTACGCTATGGAGGCTTTCCTTATTTATTTGATTATTTATTTGATTCCTCAGTGTTTGTTAAACATTCTGTAATTTTTTTAGTCGATATATACAGCATGTGATGTATCCTATGCCATGCCTCCTCTTATTCGTTTTTGTTAATAAAGGTTATGTAAGCTAGTTTGTCATTGTAGCCTACTGTTTTATTGTTGTTGTGCTTTTTAATAGGAATAACAATAAATCCATCTTTCGTTTTAGTCTTAAAAGTGAAAGGTGTATAGATATAAGCAACACAGACTTTTCTTGTAAAACGTGACACCAAAATTGCGTATGTGAAAGTGAAAGCGCACGAAAAGAGGAACTCCTGTTCACAAAATGTAAATCACAAATACTACTGATGAAAAAGAACGGGTTGAATGTTGAACACTTTCGTTACCGTATAACTATAAGCTATGATAAAAGTTCATTAGCATGCATTGATTAATCAAATGTTGTAGGAAAAAAAAAAATTGTGACCAAATTATGTGCTCCTGCGACCAACTGAGAAAGTTAGTCGCAAAAGAGCGACCAGTGGGAAGAACGAGTCTAGAGCCCTGATATATGTGCAATATTTTAACCGAGCCCTCACTAACTGAGTTTAATGCCACAGTTATGTTTTAATGTAAAAAGCCTATATTCACCATACTTTATGTATGCCAAACACAATATCACCAATTTTTAATAAGCATTATGGCGATTACAAGTACAGAAATCTCAATAAGGAAATGTATATTTCAATATCAGGAAAAATTATTTCTTTCTGTACACAGGAAGAGCAATCTGCTGTGTTAATTCATTTTAATTCATTTAAAACTATTAAAATGGTTTAACATTGTATTAACATTTTAAAGAATCAACTCAAATTTAAGCAACAGCAAGCAACAATTTGATTCATGGATTATTCAGTCAGTTATTCAAGTTCCCCATTCTATTAAAATTGGGGCTACTCGGGAAACAAACACTCTGTGTGTGTGTGTGTGTGTGTGTCCGTGTGTGTGTGTGTGTGTGTGTGAGTGTGTGTGTGTGTGTGTGTGTGTGCAGGGTGTGCGTGTGTCTGTGTACAGAACATTGTCAGCTGGCCTGGGCGCAGATCCCCCTCCTGCTCAGTGATTTGAACCATTGTATACTAAACTAACTGGGAATTTGGGAAATGAAATGAACAGTTTACTTCATCCTGATACCTTTGCTTGCTACTGGAATACATTTCCCAGATTCCATCTCTGGAGCTAGCTGCTAGCTACTGTGAATTTATGCTAATGTTATAACCTCCAGTAGTCCACATTAACACCCATTTCTCATTATAGCATATATTATCCCTT